ATAATATTCGGTAATGCGGTTTCGAGGCTTTCAAGGCAGTTTTGGGTCATTCTGATCTGACCAGAAAATTGTTCGACCGTTGCTCCGGGGTTCATGTCTCGAGATATTACTAGGTTGTGTTTTCAACTGTGATTCCTAATGTCTCCATCCCATTCTACTCGCATGAGAGTATTTTTAGTAACGAGTAACGAGGACGTGGTCGCTCGTACAACCTTGGAGGTGAAGGACCAACAGAAAGTAGACGTTTGTGTATTATTGTATTTGAACAAACCAGAAAAGGTTTTCTATTTATGTTGCCAATGAAACTTAAACTAACCCAACCTAACCATGCTAGACCTAATACACGCTATCTAAAGCCTAATATAGTATACATATGTGCTATACTAGCTCTAGGAATATTCAAGTTTAGTTTTAATTTGACTTTTCTGGACTATAAAATTAGCATTACCCAATTATACTTTCTGTTTGTCCATCACGTAGATAGTTGTATTATCGTCTACATAGTTACACAAAGTAGTATCTTGTCAGGAGGATGTGTGGAATGTCTCCTCCAAACCATGTGAGTATTTTAATAATTCTGTTCAGTTAAGTATATATATATATATATATATATATATATATATATATATATATATATATATATATATATATATATATATATATATATATATATATATATATATATATATATATATATATATATATATATATATATATATATATATATATATATATATATATATATATATATATATATATATATATATAGGGGGTACCACCTCTGGTGCAATTATAGGGACCCACAGCCTCAGAGAAGGGAACACAGAGCATTCAGGGAAAAACTTGCCATTTAACTCTGAATACGTAAGAGTGTTCGCTTCTCCTACCACCCCCCTTTATATATATATATATATATATATATATATATATATATATATATATATATATATATATATATATATATATATATATATATATCCTCTCTCCCCTCCCAGGCCACCTCCTCCCTCCCCTCCCAGGCCACCTCCTCCCTCCCCTCCCAGGCCACCTACTCCCTCCCCTCCCAGGCCACCTACTCCCTCCCCTCCCAGGCCACCTACTCCCTCCCCTCTCCCAGTCTACCTCCCCGGGCAGCTCTTGCCTCGCTCTCCACCCTGGACTGAGCAACAAGGAGAGCAAGCAACACGTTTATCAACTTAGACCAGCTCCTCCAGTGTGTGGGGGTAAGAAATGGGGCCTCCTAAAGTGTGGGGGAGAAGCAGGGCCTCCTCCAGTGTGGGGGAGAAGCAGGGCCTCCTCCAGTGTGGGGGAGAAGCAGGGCCTCCTTCAGTGTGGGGGAGAAGCAGGGCCTCCTCCAGTGTGGGGAAGAAGCAGGGCCTCCTCTAGTGTGGGGGAGAAGCAGGGCCTCCTCCAGTGTGGGGAAGAAGCAGGGCCTCCTCTAGTGTGGGGGAGAAGCAGGGCCTCCTCCAGTGTGGGGAAGAAGCAGGGCCTCCTCCAGTGTGGGGGAGAAGCAGGGCCTCCTCCAGTGTGGGGGAGAAGCAGGGCCTCCTCTAGTGTGGGGGAGAAGCAGGGCCTCCTCCAGTGTGGGGAAGAAGCAGGGCCTCCTCTAGTGTGGGGGAGAAGCAGGGCCTCCTCCAGTGTGGGGGAGAAGCAGGGCCTCCTCCAGTGTGGGGGAGAAGCAGGGCCTCCTCCAGTGTGGGGGGAGAAGCAGGGCCTCCTCCAGTGTGGAGGGAGAAGCAGGGCCTCCTCCAGTGTGGGGGAGAAGCAGGGCCTCCTCCAGTGTGGGGGAGAAGCAGGGCCTCCTCCAGTGTGGGGGAGAAGCAGGGCCTCCTCCAGTGTGGGGGGAGAAGCAGGGCCTCCTCCAGTGTGGGGGAGAAGCAGGGCCTCCTCCAGGGTGAGGGAGGGGGTGGGGCCTCCTCCATTTCTTTTTGTGGGGTGGAAGTAAAGATGAAGTTTTGCAGGTGAGGAAAAAAGTTTATGATATGTGGAATACAGAGCGAGTTATGCTATCAGGCGGACTGTCTGCCTTGCTGACGTCTGGATGGATGGTCAGGGAGAGTGAGGATGGAGGATGAGTCAGGGAGAGTGAGGATGAAGGATGGGTCGGGGAGAGTGGGAGGGGCAGGGAGGCACGCCTCACGGGGCTGTCTTGCTAATGGCTCCTTCTAAAAGAAAGCGGAAATCCACAGTTTCAAAAGACAGTGAAGTGGTGGAGGAGTAGAGGCGCCTCACGGTGCGAGGCAGGGTTGAAGGGAAGGCAAATCATGAGGAGGCAGGGTCGTGCGGGAGGCAGGTTCGTGGGAGAGGCAGGGACATTGGGGAGGAAGGGTCGTGAGGGAGGTAGTCTTGTGGTGGAGACAGGGTTGTGGGGTAGGTGGTGTCGTGAGGGAGGCAGGGTCGTTGCCGGGGGGGGGGGGGCAGAGTCGTAATGGAAGCAGAGTCGTGGGGGAGGCAGGGTCATGGTGGAAGCAGGGTCATGGTAGAGGCAGGGTTGCGGTGAAGACACGGTTGTGGGGGAGGTAGGGTCGTGAGGAAGGCAGGGTCGTGGGTGAGGCAGGGTCGTGGAGGAGGCAGGATCGTAGAAGAGGCAGATCGTGGGTGAGGCAGGGTCGTGGAGGAGGCAGGGTTGTGGGGAGACAGGGTCGCGGTGGAGGCAGGGACGTAGTGGAGGTAGGGTGGTCGTGGGGCCAGGGTTGTGGTAGAAGAAGGGTCTTGGGGGAGGCAGGGTTGTGTGGAGGCAATGACGTTGGGGCGGCTGGGTTTTTGGGAAGGCAGGGTTTGGAGAAAGGTTGTAGAGGAGGCAGGGTCGTCGGGAACGCCGGATCGTAAGGGAAGCAGGGTTGTTGGGAGGAAAAAACGTGAGTAGGGCAATTTTGTGGGTGAGGCAGGGGCGTGAGGGAGCCAGGGTTGTTGGCAGGCAGGGATGTGTGCAGGCAGAGATCTTGGAAGGAAGGGACATTGGATAGGCAGTGTTGTGGGGGGGGGCGGGATTGTGGGGGAGGGAGGGTTATGGGACTGGCAGAGTTGTTGGTATGCAGGGAAGTGCGGGACGCAAGAACGTGGGAGATGCACGGTTGTTTGGAGACAAGGACATGGGAGATGCACGGTTGTTTGGAGGCAAGGACATGGAAGAGGCAGGGTTTTGGGGGAGGAAGGGACGTTGGGAAGGCAGGGTTGTGAGGGAAGCAAGGACCTGGGGAAGGCAGGGATGAGGGGGAGGCAGCAGACGAGAGACAGTAGTGGTGGGAGTAACACGAGAGACAGTAGTGGTGGGAGTAACACGAGGGACAGTAGTGGTGGGAGTAACACGAGGGACAGTAGTGGTGGGAGTAACACGAGGGACAGTAGTGGTGGGAGTAACACGAGGGACAGTAGTGGTGGGAGTAACACGAGGGAAAGTAGTGGTGGGAGTAACACGAGGGACAGTAGTGGTGGGAGTAACACGAGGGACAGTAGTGGTGGGAGTAACACGAGGGACAGTAGTGGTGGGAGTAACACGAGGGACAGTAGTGGTGGGAGTAACACGAGGGACAGTAGTGGTGGGAGTAACACGAGGGACAGTAGTGGTGGGAGTAACACGAGGGACAGTAGTGGTGGGAGTAACACGAGGGACAGTAGTGGTGGCGGCAGAGCTGCAGCTGTTATAGGGAGCGAACTGACTGTTGCAACAACCAAAATAGCAGTATCAGGGGCAGTAGTACCAAGAGAAAGCTAAACAACACAAAATACGTATGGTATAGCTGGGATCCAAATTGGCTTATATTGCGGCACAAGCTCAAAGAGCATACGTTAAAATGAAACCGATTTTTGTGACAGACAAGCCGCTAAAACAAATAAAATCTGCGGTGTGTTTGAAAGTGCGCCGATGTTGGCTTGCTGGACTGATAGAAATTAGACCAGATTGATAAAAACTAAATGAGTCATATTTACGCACTTTTCAAACTAATATCAAATGTTTTAAGCTGAACGTTTTAAATAGTTATCTTTAAGTAAAGTTACACCATACTATCTGAGTTTATTTTATAATATATCAATGAATGTGAATGAGTTCTCCAAAATCTGATTAAAATAAAATTTAAATTAAGAAATGTCTTTTAAAAAGAATAATAATATAGGTCTTTCAAAACCAGAACTGGGTAGATAACGTACTCATTGTGAATCCAAAACGTGTACTCAGTTGTTTGTATTCACAAACGACTGAGTACATTTCATACAACATTTATGTATGAAATCATCATACATAAATGATGATGATTTTAAGGGAGTTTCTTTTTTGTGAGACTTTAAGCTTCAAGTAACGGTATAGATATTTCTTAAGTTCTTTCTTCAAAGTAGATTGACTGCAATGTTTTAATTGTAGTGTTTCTGCCATTGGAAGGCGCTCAGTCACGAGTTGAAACAAGAATTAAAGACGTAGTCCTCAATATATGTCATGGATACCTATTTACTACTACGTTAACGCAAGCCTCAATTGAAAGGAAAAGTACCTATCCCTGAAGATTCATATATTATTACTGGCACTAATATCCCTGAAAATACTTTTATTGTTACTAGCTCTACTATCCCTGCAGATACTTCAACTTGACCAGACCACACACTAGAAGGTGAAGGAACGACGACGTTTAGGACGAATGGTCCGTCCTGGACCATTCTCAAGTCAACTTGAGAATGGTCCAGGACGGACCGAAACGTCGTCGTCCCTTCACCTTCTAGTGTGTGGTCTGGTCAACATACTTTAGCCACGTTATTGTGACTCATCGCCTGCATACTTCAACTGTTACTAGCCAGCCCGTCCTACAGCAGCAATACTATCGCTGCAGATACTTCTATTACTACTAGCACTACTCTCCGTGAAGATACTTTTATACTTAATAGCACTACTATCCTTGAAGATACTTCTATTGTAACCATCACTACTATCCTTGAAGATACTTCTATTCTTACTAACACTACTATCCCTGCAGATATTTATATTGTTACTAAAAATACTATCTCAACAGATACTTCTGCTGTTACTAGAACTACTATCCCTGCAAAAACTTCTCCTGTTACTAGCAATACTATCCCGGCAGATACTTCTATTGTTACTAGCTCCACTATCCCCAAAGGTATTCCTACTAACACTACTAGCCATGCAGATACTTAAATTGTTACTAGCACTACTATCCCTTCAGATACTTCTACTGTTACTAGCACTACTATCCCTTCAGATACTTCTACTGTTACTAGCACTACTGTCCCTGAAGATACTTCTTCTGTTACTAGAACTAATATCTCTGCAGGTAATTCTGTTTTTACTAGCACTAATATCCCTGCAGATACTTCTAGTATTACTTGCACTACTATCCCTGAAGATACCTCTATTGTTACTAACGCTGCTATCCCTAAAGATTCTTTTATTGTTTCTAGCACTTCTATCCTTGCAGATATTTATATTGTTAATAGCACTACTATCCCTGCAGATACTTCTACTGTAACTAGCACTAATATCCCTGCAGATACCTCTATTGTTACTAGCTTTACTATCCCTGAAGATTCTTCTACCGTTACTAACACTACTACCCCTTAAGATACTTATATTGTTACTAACACTACTATCCCTGCAAATACTTCCATTGTTACTAGCACTACTATCCCTGCAAATTCTTTTATTGTTAATAGCACTATTATCCCCGAAGATATTTCTACTGTAACTAGCTCTAATAACCCTGCAGATTTTTAATGTTACTATCACTACTAGCCTTGAAGATACTTCTACTGTTACTAGCACTAATATTCCTGCAGATATTTCTACTATTACTAGCATTACTATCCCCGAAGATACTTCAATTCTTATTAGCCCTTCTATCCCTACAGATACTTCTACTGTTCCTAGCACTACTATCCCAGAATATTATTCTTTTGTTACTAGGACTACTATCCCTTCAGATACTGCTACTGTTACTAGCAATACTATCCCTGCAGATATTTCTACTGCTACTAGCACTAATATTCCTAGATTCTTCTTCTGTTACTAGCACTACTTTCCTTGAATATACTTCTAATTTTATTAATTTGCGTTAATTTTCCTTTAATATGTATTTGTGATGAAATCAATAATAGTTCATTTGATAACCATTACTTGGAAGTGATCCCATAATATTCGATGAAACGAGATTTCAGCATCAAATTTCGGTATGATATATGAGGGCAATTGAACAGTCTGGAGGTCAAACGGATTTGGGTTTGCTGATGTTGATCATTTGATTGACATTTATTGCTTTCATTCCATAAATGTCCACTTGTGTGCTCGACCTTCACAGTCTCATATATACTGTAAGTGAAGACGTAAATATCTTGTCTGACTTCTTCACATTTGTACTAATTAATTCGCAGTCATGAACTTTGTGGCTTAAAACTAATAACCCCACAACCTCAAGGGGCAGTCTAGAAACCTTATCAAGTCGAAAAAGAGAAACACAGGGAAAGGATGCTCCAGTGTTTCGACTTGATAAGGAAAATAACATTAAACAATAATATAAAAATATCCGAATACCGACATATTGACAATATAAATAAGTACTTAAACAGAAATATGGCAAAATAACCACAATAGTGAACATATCGATATTTCATAATAAAAATAATGTGTGAACTCAACAGAACACTGCATTTATCAGAGGAAAAAAATAAAGAAACCTTACGAAGTGGCAGAGTAAGGACTTAAGATGCAGGAATGAGGAACAGGTGAAAGCGAGTACCATTATACACAGAAAGATTCCCATGGAATGCTAAAGTATGCAAAATTATCACCATAGGGGAAGAACAAACACACCAGTCACTGGTCTGTGACCCACATGTACTACAACACTCACCATACTCACCAACATGTACTACAACACTCACCATACTCACCAACATGTACTACAACACTCACCATACTCACCAACATGTACTACAACACTCACCATACTCACCAACATGTACTACAACACTCACCATACTCACCAACATGTACTACAACACTCACCATACTCACCAACATGTACTACAACACTCACCATACTCACCAACATGTACTACAACACTCACCATACTCACCAACATATCACACTGGTCCTCAGGCACGACTAGAGCGCAGTGTGTGCTGGCCCTCAGGCACGACTAGAGCGCAGTGTGTGCTGGCCCTCAGGCACGACTAGAGCGCAGTGTGTGCTGGCCCTCAGGCACGACTAGAGCGCAGTGTGTGCTGGCCCTCAGGCACGACTAGAGCGCAGTGTGTGCTGGTCCTCAGGCACGACTAGAGCGCAGTGTGTGCTGGCCCTCAGGCACGACTAGAGCGCAGTGTGTGCTGGCCCTCAGGCACGACTAGAGGGCAGTGTGTGCTGGCCCTCAGGCACGACTAGAGCGCAGTGTGTGCTAGCCCTCAGGCACGACTAGAGCGCAGTGTGTGCGGGCCCTCAGGCACGACCAGAGCGCAGTGTGTGCTGGCCCTCAGGCACGACTAGAGCGCAGTGTGTGCGGGCCCTCAGGCACGACTAGAGCGCAGTGTGTGCTGGCAGTCAGGCACGACTAGAGCGCAGTGTGTGCTGGCCCTCAGGCACGACTAGAGCGCAGTGTGTGCTGGCCCTCAGGCACGACTAGAGCGCAGTGTGTGCTGGCAGTCAGGCACGACCAGAGCGCAGTGTGTGCTGGCAGTCAGGCACGACCAGAGCGCAGTGTGTGCGCAGCAAACAACCACATATTTTTCTGGTCCGCTAAACACTGGTCAACGATCACTCAGACTTTTAGTGAGTGCATATAATATACTGATGGCGAATCAGCCATATAAACAACCACTGATGGCCCAGCAGCCATTAGCGATGGCTACCGCTTCATTAACCCAAATAGTGTCGAAGGAACAAAACCTCGGCCGAGACACTGCGGCAATAACACTGCAGTAACAACCCAACATGCCTGCGAAATAACCCCGTTCTGAGGTTCTAAAAGCTAAAAGTGCGCCTAATTATCGAAATGCACTTTACTCGACTATTATGCCAAAAAATAGATTATCGGTTTAACATTACTAAGAATAATTATCCAGGACTCCACGACAACTACTTAAAAACTCAAGCATCGTCGAATCACGGTCACAGAGGAAATAAAAGGCTCGATCCTCACTCCGAGTGATTAATAAAAATATACAATGGACTCTTGAGTGTGGTTAATGCAACAGGTTAGAGTAGTGTGTGCGTGTGTGTGTGTGTGTGTGTGTCAGGCTCTCATGTCAGGCTTTGTGTGTGTGTGTGCGCGCGCGCGCGCGTACTCACCTAGTTGTGCTTGCGGGGGTTGAGCTCTGGCTCTTTGGTCCTGCCTCTCAACCGTCAATCTACAGGTGTACAGGTTCCTGAGCCTATTGGGCTCTATCATATCTACACTTGAAACTGTGTATGGAGTCAGCCTCCACCACATCACTTCCTAATGCATTCCATTTGTCAACCACTCTGACACTAAAAAAGTTATTTCTAATATCTCTGTGGCTCATTTGGGCACTCAGTTTCCACCTGTGTCCCCTAGTGCGTGTGCCCCTTTTGTTAAATAGACTGTCTTTATCTACCCTATCAATTCCCTTGAGAATCTTGAATGTAGTGATCATGTCCCCCTAACTCTTCTGTCTTCCAGCGAAGTGAGGTTTAATTCCCATAGTCTCTCCTCGTAGCTCATACCTCTCAGTTAGGGTACTAGTCTGGTGGCAAACCTTTGAACCTTTTCCAGTTTGGTCTTATCCTTGATATGGACTCCATGCTGGGGCTGCAAACTCCAGGATTGGCCTAACATATGTGGTATACAAAGTTCTGAATGATTCCTTACACAAGTTTCTGAATGCCGTTCTTATGTTGGCCCGCCTGACATATGCCGCTGATGTCATCCTCATGATATGGGCTGTAGGAGACAGGTCTGGCGTGATATCAATCCCCAAGTCTTTTTCTTTCTCTGACTCTTGAAGTATTTCATCTCCCAGATGGTACCTTGTATCTGGCCTCCTGCTCCCTACACCTATCTTCATTACATTACATTTGCTTGGGTTAAACTCTAACAACCATTTGTTTGATCATTCCTTCAGCTTGTCTAGGTCTTCTTGAAGCCTCAAGCAGTCCTCCTCTGTCTTAATCCTTCTCATAATTTTGGCATCGTCCGCAAACATTGAGAGAAATGAATCTATACCCTCTGGGAGATCATTTACACATATTAGAAACAAGATAGGACTGAGCACAGAGCCCTGTGGGACTCCACTGGTGACTTCACGCCAATCTGAGGTCTCACCCCTCACCGTAACTCTCTGCTTCCTATTGCTCAGGTACTCCCTTATCCACTGGAGCACCTTACCAGCTACACCTGCCTGTCTCTCCAGCTTATGTACCAGCCTCTTATGCGGTACTGTGTCAAAGGCTTTCCGACAATCCAAGAAAATGCAGTCCGCCCAGCCTTCTCTTTCTTGCTTAATCTTTGTCACCTGGTCGTAGAATGCTATTAAGCCAGTCAGGCAAGATTTACCCTCCCTGAGCCCATGTTGGCGATTTGTCACGAAGTCCCTTCTCTCCAAATGTGTTACCAGGTTTTTCTCACGATCTTCTCCATCACCTTGCATGGTATACAAGTCAAGGACACTGGCCTGTAGTTCAGTGCCTCTTGCCTGTCGCCCTTTTTGTATATTGGGACCACATTCGCCGTCTTCCATATTTCTGGTAGGTCTCCCGTCTCCAGTGACCTACTATACACGATAGAATGTGACAAGCAAATTGCCTCTGCACACTCTTTCAGTATCCATGGCGAGATTCCGTCTGGACCAACAGCCTTTCTAACATCCAGATCCAGCAGATGTCTCTTGACCTCCTCTCTCGTAATTTCGAACCCTTCCAAGGCCGCCTGGTTTACCTCCCTTTCTCTTAGCACAGTGACTTCACCTTGTTCTACTGTGAAGACCACCTGGAACCTCTTGTTGAGTTCTTCACACACCTCTTTGTCATTCTCTGTATACCTGTCCTCGCCTGTTCTAAGTTTCAATACTTGTTCTTTCACTGTTGTTTTCCTTCTGATGTGACTATGGAGTAGCTTTGGTTCGATCTTGGCTTTATTTGCTATATCATTTTCATAACTTTTCTCCGCTTCTCTTCTCACCCTTGCATACTCATTCCTGGTTCTCTGGTATCTCTCTCTGCTTTCTGGTGTTCTGTTATTCCGGAAGTTCCTCCACGCCCTTTTGTTCAGTTTCTTTGCTTCCATACCTGCCCTATTATACCATGGATTCTTCTGTTGTTTCTCGGATTTTTCCCTTTGGGCCGGGATGAACCTGTTTACTACCTCCTGACACTTTTGGGTAACATAGTCCATCATATCTTGTACAAACTTATCTTTGAGGTCTGTGTCCCAAGGTATTTCCCTTAGGAAACTGATCATCTCTTCATAATTCCCCTTTCGGTATGCCAGCCTTTTGTTTCCTAGTTCTTTTTTGGGGGAGATAATTGCTAGCTCTACCAGGTACTCAAAGTTCAATACACTGTGATCACTCATTCCCAAGGGTGCTTCCATCTTAACTTCCCTTACTTCCCACTCATTTAGGGTAAATATCAAATCAAGCATTGCTGGTTCATCTTCTCCTCTCATTCTTGTTGGTTTCTTGATGTGCTGGCTTAGAAAGTTTCTTGTTGCCACGTCCAGCAGCTTAGCTCTCCATGTTTCTGGTCCTCCATGCGGGTCTCTGTTCTCCCAATCTATCTTCCTGTGGTTGAAGTCTCTCATAATTAGTAGTCCAGATCCATTTCTGCTAGCAACAGAAGCTGCTCTGACTATTATGTTAATGGTGGCCATGTTGTTTCTATCATATTCCTGTCTGGGTCTTCTGTGATTTGGTGGTGGATTATATATGACTACGACTATAATTTTTTTTGCCCTCCAGTTGTTATGGTACCTATTATGTAGTCACTGAAACCTTCACATCCCTGAATAACCATCTCCTCAAAATCCCAGTATTTTCTTACCAGCAGAGCTACACCACCAC